GAAAGAGGTGCATAGCTCAGTAGAATTTAGTCAACCAAGTTTTGGGCATCTGAACCTGATTACAGTCTATTTGTTTTAGAGAACGGAAGAATAAGTTCCTGATATTGTCACCTTTTAAACTAATAAGCTGGCACTGCTTCTAGTTTAATGATTTGTTCTATCCGAAAGCCATAACTATATCCACACCTCCAAGAGATGATCAACAAAGTAGATTTGCTCTAGCACTCCATATAGCTCCCTCAAGAGGAATGTTCTTCATGCTTATGCTGATTTATCAAGTCGTAACAAAGTAATACAAAATGAGTGGAAGAAAGTGTAGAAGATGCTAGTAGTATGTCAATATTTAAAAATGTGATTTACTTGAGAAAGAATAATGTAGGACAATCCTATTCCAAATAGGATTGGTTTTAACTCTTTCTCTCCTTCTTTCTTATATAGAATATGATTTCTTTCATCTTTGGAATATGATATCCTTTTCTTTCTTGATCAGAGTAGGATTTCTTCTTTCTTTTATATCGGTATTTTGTTTCCTTTTAGGAAGTATTTGAGTTTTCTTTTCTTACATGATTTTAGTTTAGTTTCCTTATATTAGTAAGACCGGGGATTTATTTTACACATATAAACAAAGACTGTGTAAACTTTTCAATTATCAATTTAATCAGTTCAATACAATAAAATTGTTTTCTGCAAATTTCTAATTTTCAACTTTATTCTTGTTCAAGAATTTCAATTTCTCTTCCACACCAAAATTGGTATTGGAGTAAGGTTTTGCCCTTGCTTGGTGGCTACCTATGGTAGTAGTGGTACGCATCCTCGTAAAGATAATAGAAAGATCGCAAAATTACCAATCTTGGTCCAAAATCTGGAACAAATGATGGATATATTCAAAGACGCAACTCACAAGAATTTGCATATTTTGACTGCTATGAATGTTGGTTGCTTCACAAAGCCCAGACATGACAATAGGTGGTGAGTGAATTTCCTTGAGTCCCAACTAGGTTTGAATACTCACAAGCTATTAAGGATTCAGGGGAGATATAAAGGAAATTTGAAGCAAGATAAGAGATATAATAGACCATGGAAGTAGTGACAACATTGAATCTAAAGCATTTGTGAAAATTTTAAATTTGAAGATCGAAAAATACTCATCTTGCTATCAAGTTTCACTAGTTAAGGGGGGCAAGAAATTTCAAACATGGAGGTATGCAAAATTCCACTTCTTTTTGAAAAGTACTACAAAAATGAGATTATATGTAACGTGGTGGAAATGGGTGATGGTCATGTACTTTGGAGACAATTATAGATTGCCACTTGCATAGATCGAGATAACAGGTATTTGCGAATACTAGTGTAAACAAGAGCTAAGGTAGATTATGAGTTTAAAAAAAATATCATTCAAAATGATTAGGATGCTGTCGACTGTGATATTACAAAGGAGGTAGAAAAACAGGTGCAAGTTGAAAATTCGATATATGTTGATTCCTTATACATGGAAATTGATAATAAATATAAGCATAAGGATAAAAAACACTGATAAAAAACACTGGTCAAATTGCAATTAAATATCCTAAAATTGAGCCGCATTCCGTGATGAATAAGTTGACGTTAGAAATGTCAAATAGAAGAAAAAAGGAATTAAACTTTCAATCACGAATGAATCCAAAGTGAGACTTGTCAAATTGAGAATAAAATTTTTGTTCACCTTCTTTACGATTTCAGTGTCGACGAATTGCATAAGCATAAGCACAATATGGACAGTGTAGATTTGAGTCCTTGTACTAGGTTTTTTGTATTAAAGAAAACATCATTTAGCATTATAGCAAAAGATGAGAAGCATGAAAAATTGAAAATAGCACCAATAGCCTCTAACGAGAGTGGACTCGAGGGTAAGAAATAGGAATTGTCCGTGAGAAAAATATAATGGACAATGTAGGAGCAAAGATAACTCCAAATAATACAATTGAAGACTATGTTTATCGAGCACATCAAGAAATTCATATTTCTTCAATATTAGAATTGATAGAGTTTTGAATATTTTCTTCCCAATTGATTGATATTCTTTTCTTTAACCAAACTCGAAAACTCTTTTTTTTTTTCAAGTGGGGAAAAATGACGTAGGACAATCATTTTCCAAATAGGATTTGTTTTATCTCTCTCTTCTTTTTTATTTAGAATAAGATTTTTTTTCTTATTTAGAATATGATTTCTTCTTTTTTTTCTTTAGATTAGGATTTTAATTAATTTTAATTTTAATTTTCTTTTTCTTTTTCTTTTAGGATTTTAGTTTAGTTTCTCTATATTAATATGATTAGGGAAATATATTGCCTATGTAAACAAACACTTTGTCCACTTTTCAATTATCAGTGAAATCAATTTAACACAATAAAATTATTCTCTACAAATTTTTTAGCTTTAACTTTATTCTTGTTTCAAGAATTCCGATTTCGCTTCCGCACCAAAGAAAAAGTAATAATAACAGTAAGTAAAGGTGGTTTCTTGTATTTATCGAAAATGAAATGTCACTATTCAATTGGTGCTGGTGGTCCCTGGGTGGGTGGGGGTCTGTTACCATTGAAATCTAATACTTGCAAAAGTGTTTAAAACTGTCCACCATCCTTTCCATTACCTAACAAAATTCTACAACATTCTCTTTCATAACTAGAATCTGTAACATAAAGAAAAGAGAAACATATTGTAGCTTAATCTGGCTCCTTCGGAAGGAAAAAAAGGGTCCTGCAGTTATAAAGCAGCTTTCTGTCTTTATTGGATTTCATGTTTGGGGTAAAAATATCTTATAAGTGGAACAACCATATGCAGTAGTCAAATCAACCTCTCTTTTAGCACTTAATCTTCTCTCATAGGAAGGTTCCTAAATACTTTGATATTTTCTTGGTTAGATAATGATTGTTCCCGATTTGTCTTGAGTTACACAACCTTTCTGCATCTGTTCACTTTGTTGGAAATCATTTTGAATTTTTCTACCCTTCCTTGCTTTTCTATTAATAAAATATTTTGGCTTTAGGTGCTCATTTTATTCATTGTGGAGTCATTTTATTGTTGATGCAGATTGCAGAGGATTACTCTCATTGTGAATTTCTTATCCGCCTCCCTGGATACTGCCCAAGTATGCCAACACGTCTCAGTACCAATGATCTTTTTGTTATTCTGCTCTTAATTTTTGCCTTATCAAATCTAAAGATGGTTGGTAAACACTACAGTGCCTGCATTCAGGGATTCAATTGATGTGCCTTTGGTAGTGAGGAGATTGCACAAGTCCCGTGAGGAGGTATGCGATATAAATTTTCCTATAGAATTTTATTAATGGCATTGTTGGAAGATGTACTTATTGTGTAAAATGTAAATTATTCGTTTTCTTTATCATGTCCAGGTGAGGAAAGAACTTGGAATTGGAGAGGATGTGAACATTGTTATTCTCAACTTTGGCGGACAGGTAACTGCATAGTCATTTTGTGAAAATTTTATTGGATGATTTTTAGGAGTTTTTTCTTTTGCTGGCTGGTTCAGGTTTAGCTTTCATTGTGAATACATTATAAGATGGTCTCTATTTGCAGCCGTCCGGCTGGACATTAAAGGAAGAGTACCTGCCTCCTGGTTGGCTTTGCCTGGTATCTTATGCTTTCCAGTCTTGGTACCCGTTGGGTGCTTGGTGAAGTGTACTGAGATGTTCTACCATCAAGGTTAAATGTTGTTTTCTTCCTGGATTAGGTTTGTGGTTCTTCCGATAATCAGGACCTTCCTCCAAATTTTGTAAAGCTAGCAAAAGATGCGTATACTCCTGATCTGATTGCTGCATCTGATTGCATGCTTGGTTAGTCAATAAATCTTATGCATAGCTGAAATGTATTTTTGGACATCAAACAATTATCATAGCATCCTTGTAGTATTTTATTTTATTTTATTTTTATTAATTATAGCAGCCATATAATATCTCAGGAAAAATTGGATATGGAACAGTTAGTGAGGCCTTGGCATACAAGGTACCATTTGTCTTTGTGCGTAGAGACTACTTCAATGAAGAACCATTTCTGAGAAACATGCTTGAGGTGAGATCTCATTGCCGCTCTTGCTTCTCGTTGATGATTGTTCTTTTCCCTCTCTTTGATATATCCAACATCTTGTTAACTATTCTCTTTTCTTCTTGTTTTGTTGTCTCTTTTTTGAGAACATATATTCACACTCTGGATTAATGAATGCTTGGTCCTTATTAGTTCTATCAGGGTGGTGTTGAGATGATTAGGCGGGATTTACTCACTGGACATTGGAGTCCATATCTTGAACGTGCAGTTAGTCTGAAACCATGCTATGAAGGGGGCACTAATGGTGGAGCGGTATTTTTGTTTTTCTTTGTGTGGAATATCTCTTTTTTTTTTTTTCTTTTTTCTTTTACATCTGTAGTTTTGGAATAGATGACATGAAATTGAAGGCATTTCAATTATGTTGAAATTCTATTATATTATTTTTCCTCAGCAAGTATCCTACCATCCTATACAAGGAAAATGCAAAAAATGATGCAAATATTAACAGAGTGAGCATGAGAGAGGGTCAAATTTAGTATCCTGGTTTTGCTTTAATTCCAGACAAAATCGAAAGCAAAATATTTCTGTCAAAGATATCTTCATGGTTACTCATGTTTTTAGACATGCAGCACAATTCTAGGAAATGGACAGAATCTGATGAGGGTATAACTTTAACAATTATTTACATTTCCATTTCATTCTTAATTTGGTAATACCATTCCTAGCATTATGTTTTTAAGTTGCAAGTTTTCATGGAATGTAGCTTGGTGAAGACAAAATACCATTTATAGTGAATATTAAGTTCTTGATAATATGTTGGACTAGGCACAATGATAATTATATCCATTGCTAGAGACTTTCTTGTCATGTTTATTTTCATAAAGTTCAGGATCTACAGAAGAAACGCATAGTGTTCAATTTAGATTGCAATTCTTTTATACTCTTGTGGGAGAAATGTCATGCTCACCAGTAATACTCTAGACGATCCTCATGATGAACAGTCAATATTTATTTTAGTGGTATTTGTTGCCACTATTTTCTTTTAGGTTTTTTAATAGGCGTGGTATTGCTGCTTTATTGTTTCAGAGTTCTATTGGAAATGTATGACGTTTTATAATTGGTAAAATTTTAGGTTGCAGCTCAAATATTGATGGATACAGGCTCTGGAAAAAACTATACATCAGATAAGGTAAGACCAAGACATGTAATTTCTCGTATTGCTGAAAATGTGTTAGAAATATGAAACTTAAAAGCAGAGACACATCACCGGAGGTGTTTAAAGTGAAAATTGAGATGATTCTAGTAACAAATACTGATTTTTTAAACCACTAAGTAGATTGAATTTCCTCGTTATTTGTAGCTTAGCGGTGCAAGGAGATTGCGTGATGCCATCATTCTTGGGTATGAATTGCAAAGAGTTCCTGGAAAAGATCTCTGCATTCCAGAATGGTATGCAAATGCGGAAAATGAACTTGGTCTTCGTACAGGATCACCTACTGCTGAAATGAGTGATGATAGTTTTGCCATGCCTTCGTGAGTTTCTTCATTTTTCTCCATGCTTCTTACTGGTCTTTGTAAATTGAACTGCTGAATGCTTTCTTATGTCAACATTTTCACACTTCTTTTGCTAGATATCCTGAAGACTTTGAGATTCTTCATGGAGAACTTCTGGGTCTACCTGATACTGCGAATTTCTTGAAGAGCTTGTCAGAATTCGAGGTTGTTTCCGATTATGGAAAGAATACTGAGAAGCGCCAGATGAGGGAGCGAAAAGCTGCTGCTAATCTCTTTAATTGGGAGGTATCTTGTTTTATTCAGTTCAGTTGACCCAACATTTGCTTCATATTTACACTTGGTTTCATAGATGTACTTTCTGCAAATTTAATGCGATGTCATCTTTTTATCATTTATTCAACCACAGGGCTCAGAAATGAGTAGTAAGATGTGATTTTAATGATATTTATTTATACTGAAATTTTTTGGTAATGACAACCTTGTTGCTCTATTGGAGGTATCATTCTGTCCTCTGCATCTATGGTGCAATGCTAGACATTCAAGATCTTTGACTTGTCTGACTATTCTCTAGGAGGATAATCTTTTATCTTCAATTTTTTCTCTTAAGTTGCTGTCTTTGGAACAATTAGGAAACAAATAATTGATAATCTTCAAAATCTCAAAGCACTAAAAGGAAGTAATATCATGGTAATGAAATTTGGGTGACTATTATGTTGGTTGTCTACATGTATGTTTGTATTGATAATTATACAAGTAAATCTTATTTTCGCCATAAACATTGACTGATGTAGGAAGACATTTTTGTGGCAAGAGCACCTGGAAGGTTAGATGTCATGGGTGGAATTGCAGACTACTCTGGAAGTCTTGTATTGCAGGTATATTACCCTACCGAACATCATATTTTAATAAGAATAGAAAAAGAACACTGTTTGGTCTTCTGGATTATTTATTTATTTTTAGGGGGTGGGGGGTGTTTGTGGAGGTATCAATCCTCGAACCCTTTGACCTCTATTGTGGAAAAAACTATCTTTAACCAACTGAGACAAGGTGAATTGGTTTGGTCTTCCAGATTTATTTTTTTTTGGTGGACAGAAGTTCCAGTAAGATATCTTGTGCTGAAAGATTCAAATATTAGTATTTTTTCAACTGTAGATGTAATATTAAGGTAGAATTTAGATATTAAGTAGATTTTAAGATTGGAACTGCTTTATGACAAAAAACATGCGAATCTCTTAAACCTATCCATTGGCATCAGAATTTTTTTCCCCCTTTCTCATGATCAATATGCTATGCATACATTTAGTGTCTTCACTTTAGAGGTTCTTATATCTCATTGCGCTGATGATATTCTCAATAATAATATTTAAAATATCTACAGATGCCAATTAGAGAAGCTTGCCATGTTGCTGTGCAAAAGATTAATCCAACTAAACAAAGACTGTGGAAGCATGCTCAGGCTCGACATAGTTCTAAAGGACCAGAGCAAACCCCTGTTCTTCAAATTGTATGTATTTGGTGGTTAAGTTGTTTTAACTGATAAGCCTGCCATTATGAGTTAACTTGCAACCGACAATTATGTCACATAGTATGTAATAGTATAACTTTTAGCTGTTTTTAATGTGAATTAAAATACAACTTGGCTCATAAAATGGGATCTTTTTACCACTCATCTTCGAGAGAGATGAGGGCATTTTATTCTGATTTAACATTCATCTGATTTCAGCTTCTAGTTGAACTCTTCATGTCTCTGAAGACCAGTTTTAGTGCCTTTTGTTATTTTATATTAATGTGTCAGGTATCATACGGGTCAGAGTTGAGTAATCGTGGGCCAACCTTTGATATGGATCTATCAGATTTCATGGATGGTGAGCAACCATTGTCATATGAAAAGGCCAGAAATTACTTTGACCGAGATCCATCCCAAAGGTTATATTTACTTTGTGTTCTATTTATCTAATAATGAATGTGCTTTTACATTTTATACTAACAAAATTCCCATTCTAGATGGGCTGCTTATGTTGCGGGAACAATTCTGGTTCTGATGAAAGAACTGGGCATCCGCTTTGAGGATAGTATTAGTGTTCTGGTATGCATCACTCTACAAATTAACAATTTTGATATATCTGCAAACACCATTTATCATCGTTTCACTTTATTAACAGATGTTTAACATTTGATTCTATTGCATATAGCCAGCAATCAGCTTGTCTGATGATTTCCATCGTTCGGATCGGCCAAAATTCATTATTATGTTAGGTTTTTACCACTCGGCATCAATTATATTGATGAACTTTGCTAGTTTTGACATGTTAACTTTTGACGTTATTCAGATTGCTCAAATATGACCATTATAAGTTTATTCATTCATGAGGTGTATTAACTTCCAATATTATGTTCATTTTCCCTCAAAAATTGACCAAACAGGCATGTCTTTGATGACTTTGATATGAATCTTGAATTTCTCATGCTCTTTTTTGCCGATTAATAATCAAATATAGAATATGGCGCCAGGCTGCGTAGTATTTGAGAACTTCTAGATTATACATTGTTTTGTTACAACAATTAGAACATGTCAAGTAAGCTGCTTATGGCTTATGCTCATTCTTCCAACATGAAGGCAAACAATTTAGACACTTCTTTCAATATGCGTACAACCTGGCAATGTTGGGTCAAAATGAGTGTCAAATATATTGGTTTGTTGTTGATATGAGAAAACAAATTAGTCATTTGGTATTTGTTATTTTTTCCTTTTTTTATTTTTATTTTTGGTTGTATCCCTTCCGTACAGCATGCCCATTGATACTTATGACTAGAACAAATGAACATTTTATGACATAATGCCCGTGATCTTGTAGGTTTCTTCTGCTGTGCCAGAAGGAAAGGGTGTCTCTTCGTCAGCAGCTGTGGAAGTAGCCACCATGTCTGCGATAGCTGCTGCTCATGGTACTTGCACGATGTGTATATGCAGATGTTTTGTTATACCTATTGTGCATTTGCTATTGATTCTTGAAGAACACAATACTTTGAGCTATTTTTTATTATGAGACATGAGTTGGAATATTATCTCCTTGTAACTTTGCTTTTATCTCGGAACGACGAGATGATTAATAATGATTGAATATGCTTCCGTGCTTTCCTCTTGAAACTGTAGATAATATTCATTCTGATATCATGGGTTTGATACAGGATTGAATTCCAATTATCAATGGTCAGCACTGATGTTATGGATTGAAGTTTGAGACCTACATGCTAATACGAACTTGTTCATTTTGGGTTTTTCTCCTGCATTGACATCTACCAAAACAGAAACTCTAGGTCAGCAGACTGAAATATGATGCATTAGTGATTTCACAAGCCACAGTAGCAGTCACTTCACCGCATTTCATATGACCGTGAGGGAGCTATAGCATGGATATTATATTTCTACGTAGTTTAATAAGTACCGAGATTGTAGGAATTTGATTTACTTATAAAACTTACAAATTAAAGCAGTTCTGATGGGTTTAAGAACTCTAATTGACCAGCCAGCAGAAAGGATTAACTCTTATCAATGATTTGACCACTTCTAATAGCATGTCGAAAAAACTGGATCATATTGAGAAATTAATTTTGGTTGGTTGGAGATGTTCAATTCCTTGTTTCAGGACATGTCAGCCCAAGGAAAAACTGGGACCATTCACATTGGATAAATGACCCCACTTCCTTTTTTGTATTTAACTAATTATCTTATCGTGGTTCAGCCTATAATTTGGTTTATTCACGTCTTCAGTGGCAAAATGATCTTATTCATGCCTTTGTCTGTGCATTTCAGGACTGAATGTCAGCCCAAGAGAGCTTGCTTTGCTATGTCAAAAGGTTTACTTTCTGATGCATGAATACACTCACATGTCATTATGCTAGTGAGGTTTATGCATAACATCTAACCACTATCATAACAATATTTGCATATGGAAAGGTGGAGAATCATATAGTTGGAGCTCCATGTGGTGTGATGGACCAGATGACTTCTGCATGTGGTGAAGCTAATAAACTTCTTGCGATGGTTTGCCAGGTATTTGACACAGTTCAAGTGGAAATGTACTTTTCTAATTAGAATTAGGGAAATTTTTATATTAACGTTCATAACTACACTGCAGCCTGCTGAAGTATTGGGTCTGGTGGACATTCCTAATCATATAAGGTTTTGGGGAATCGATTCAGGGATCCGGCACAGGTAATAGGAAATACACGTTCTATATCTTCCCTTTCAATGTCTGGAAATTATGTATCTGGAAGTTATGTATTTGCTTGCTTGGATTCATGGATGCAAGACTTAGTTACATTGGCATGCATATTTTTGTTATTGTTTTTAATTTCCAAACTGATATGGCTGCAAGCCTGCCAATGTTTCTTCAATAGAACTATATTGTTTACCATGCCATTTCATGCCACAAAATTTTTAGCATATTTTTTGGTGTGGTCAATATCTCTCTCTCTCTCTTTGGAATAATGGATCATTTGCAGTGTTGGTGGTGGAGATTATGGGTCTGTGAGGATTGGAGCCTTTATGGGTCGGAAGATTGTTAAGTCCATGGCATCTGAACAGTTATCCCACTCTTTGTCCACTAATGGGATGATTGCTGATGAGTTGGAAGAGGATGCTGTTGAACTACTTGAAACTGAAGCTTCCTTGGATTACTTGTGCAACTTGTCACCCCACAGGTGAAATAAATAAGTGTATCCCCTCCCCCGTGTATTGGCATCCTGCTACCCTACTTATCTTGGTTGGAGTTTTCTGCAATAGCTTGACCTCTTCGAAGCCACATTCTATTATGCATTCTTGCAAGTTCTGAGGTTCTACTTTGGTTTTTAACCTTGTGCTGTCCATGACTTAGAGCATGTTTTACTATGGTTAAAAATTAAGTAAAAGTTACTTTTAGTTTCCAAACATGTTTGGAGAATTTACTTCTTTATTACTTATAAAGTTTTTTATTTAAAAGTAAACTCTTACCTTAGAGTGAAAATAAGTGACTATGTTATATGCAATTTAATCTTTAAAAGAACATTTATTTTAGAATTTAATCATTTACTTATAAGTAAATGTTTTTTAGCTTTGCCAAACGTGCATTGGACCTTGCTTCTCACTGCAAATAGCGAGAAGTACATGAGCCCATTGATGTCAGTGTCTTGTTTCCAATTTCTCATCTTGGATGAAGAAGCCGCAAGTTCAAATGCATGAAGCCAGTTTTTAGCATCTGAATCAAATAGCTGTTAGTAATTTTGTCGTTGGGCTTGTTTTAAATGTCTGGGGTCTTTTATTTCAGATATGAAGCTCTTTATGCAAAGCAGCTTCCTGAAACGATGCTTGGTGAGACATTCTTGGAGAAATATGCTGACCACAATGATCCAGTTACTGTAATAGATAAAAAACGAAATTACGGAGTGAAAGCCGCCGCCAGACATCCTATATATGAGAATTTCCGCGTCCAGGTAAAGTCTGTTGAAGTTGGTTGAAAAAATAAATTGGTGACTGCGCAACTAATCATTATGGTATATGCATAACTCCTAGTGTTTGTGTGTTCTATGTCTATAATCCAGTGGAAGGTAGAGTATCTGCCTTTGTCTTATATATGCACACAATGGAAACTTGTCCATCGAGGAATGTAATCCAATTCCATTAATTTGATACTAACCAAAACCGAAATAAAGGTGGCAAAATGAAGAAAATCCTATTCATAGGCAGTACTAGACGTTTATATTTGATCGATATTCACATTTTGGTTCTCTTAAACTAGAACATATCGTACTTTAGAATACATAAAAGATGTCTGGTGATCATGCTTATAATTTTAATTTTTCACATTTATGTATAACTTAATAGTTTTATCTGATATACAGGCTTTCAAAGCACTGCTAACATCTGCAACTTCGGATGACCAACTCAATGCTTTAGGCGAATTGATTTATCAGGTATTTGAATGTTCATATAATTGAGTATTCCTGTTCTCTCTTTCCTGTATGCATCACAAAATCTCTTCTATGCCTACGTCATTCGGTAGCAATGTTAAAAATCTGGATGTTTTTCTAACGTTCTATTATTCTCTACAGTGCCACTACAGCTACAGTGCATGCGGACTTGGCTCAGACGGGACAGACAGGCTCGTTCAGCTTGTGCAACAAATGCAGCACAGTAAAATCTCGAGATCTGCTGAAGGAACTTTATATGGTGCAAAAATTACTGGTGGAGGATCGGGTGGAACAGTTTGTGTCATTGGTAAAAATTGCTTACGAAGCAGCCAGCAAATTCTTGAGGTAATTAGCTTTTTGATGCTAAAGATATTATCACAAGAATCAGCACTTATTTTCCAAAAAAAAAAAAAA